CAGTGAAAATAGTCTTTTTTGGCCATCACGACCTCCATCACAATTTTTGTGTTCCATGAGAATAATAGAATATCCATACTCATAAAATCACATATTTATGAGCAGAGTAATGAAAAGGGAGTAAAAATACCATGGCCATCAGCTGAAACCTGCTAGCTACGAGTAGAACTAGAATCGTCGGCACATTTTTAAATGGGATTCGAACGCGTGGCGCATCCTGAAACTGTAGATTCGATTCGTGTTCAAGATCCATTTTTTGCACTACGATTGTGAACTTAATTATTCCGATTATTTCCGTATAATTCCTCTACGTATTCCTCATCCCTGCTGATCGTAAAGTGCCAAAAATCCATCGGTGACAGCTCTAATAATTGAAAACTGTATAATAAAAAACAATTAAACGATATCGGATCGACAGTCATATATTCCTTAATTACTTTTGGCATCATTTCAGGTGGTCTACTGTTACCACTATGAACGATGTAGAGCTAAAACCTCACGGTACGTCAATGCTGTTTCTAGGACTTGATGGTAACCTAAGTTCCACAGACTGTGAGAGAAACAGAATCGGCATGCTCTGTGTTTTTGGTTAAAGGGATAGAGACTATAAGGATGGAATTGTAGGAAGAGAGAGCTGTTCAAAGTTTTCGATTGAGAGGGAGCATTCATGGTACCGGCTTCTGACGCCAACGTTGGCCTGGTCACTGATCGATACCTCACAAGTTGATGACTTATGCTACAGGGTGCCACAGGTTTACATAAATTGGCAATGAACGGATAAACAGAGAATTTTGTTTGAGAGACTGCTTGAAATTTTGCTTGGAAGAATTTTGTTTTGCGATTGTCTCACAGAAAAGAATGTTTACTTCCCTTAATAGGTATCTTAACATGGAAAAAGAAAACTGTCTTTCAAAAAGAAAAGAAGAAATATGATTAGTGGAGACGTTCCGTATGAGTGCGTTGTCGTCTATAGCCGTCTGGGCGTCTCACACAGGAGCGTACTCTTTTCTGCCTTATCGATCGACGACAGACGCCAACATCGCCATCGCACTATGAATGCGCCTCAAAACTTTAAGTTGCCTGAGAATAGGTCTATGTACCAAGTAGGGCAATCATGGGTTCAGGAAGTGGATAAGATTTGAGCCACTGCTCTGCAAATTGGGCTATCTCCAGCCCTACAAAATATGGTTTTTGGCCTTAAGTGGGAGTTGAGTACTTTCAAACGTTCTCTCATACGTTTTACCAAACAAAGCGCTTCCTTATATCGTCATTGTGAGTGTAAGGAAAGGAAGGAGCAATAGGAAAAAGAAAATTGTACTAGCCCAGAGAACTCAAAGTCTTACCATCCTGTTCTTTACTTCGTTTTCTGTAAAAGCGCGTAAGATTCGACGCAATAGCACACCGCATTTCCGGTTCTGAAAACTGGCTTGCCCGCAGTCGCTTGAGGATTTATCACCGATTCTTTTCGGATGCATACATGAAGTTTCTATCGACTGATCGTTTCTTTGAACAGTTCCACGTTTCCCAATCGTCGTTTTGTTTTTCTTTTCTAATTTTTCTTCCCTAACGACAGCTTTTTTGAGTTTATCAACTTCTGTATTACCATTTCGTTGGAGGCTTCTATCTTAGTCATCTTTGATGTTTATGTTACTTTTATCATCGTGATCTCTTGCATGCTTCACATTTAGCAGAACGATATTTGCTGAGTGGCAATTGGGTGCATGTGATGATGTTCAATCATATCGATTTGCTCGTTAATAGAACAATACAAGAGCGAAAATACAGCCCGTTGTCTAACCTTTCGATACTGCTTTGAACTGTTTCTAGCCTTAAACTAGTACATATTAGTTGCATGGTAGGCACAGGCGACCATGGCCTTTAACTTTGTTTCAGAATTTTTTTTTTGCGAGCGGTACCTATTACGGTAATATCAGTATCCGATTACAGTTTCACTTGCCCATATAGTTCTGTAGTCAGGGCTTTTCTTGAATGATTTCCCGATTTGATGCATGAGATTTCGCTTTAAAAGAGGTCTCATTAAAACTTTTGGAATAATATAATGTTTTAGGGGCAATGTATGTATAATTTCTCTGAAACTTTTGCAGCTTTTCGAGGGCATAAGGGGGTATTGGAGTGCAGCAATCCTTGGACAACTTGCATTCAACAAATCATTTTAGTTTACATAACCCTAAAAGCGTCGGAGGATAACGATTGATTTTGAATAATATATTGATTGAGAATAAATAATGCTTCGAATCAATTGTACGGAACAAATGATAGCGATAGGCTCCATAACCGTTCATCCAGACACCCATCCAAATAAAATAAGTCGCAGTATTCTGCAGATTCAATTTGTTGCAGTTTCCAAATTTTACCAAGTTAAGGCGACTTACAATTTCACTGTAACCACTGTAACCAAGGTGATGGACTAATTGTAAGTAGAGTAAAGAATTTTGATGTTTCCCTTGGAAGTCTGAAGGACATTTTAGAATCACCTCAGAGCCGGATCAGTCATGTCCCATTATGTACCACCTGTTGTCGACAGGGACGATACGGAGGCGATACTGGCTCCCGCTCGGTTTCGTCGGTCGTGATCTCATGTAGTCTAGTGGCCCTTTTTCGCTCGGGGAACACGACGCAAAGCATTCCATTCGCTCAGAGCTTTCACACAACTATCTGAAGGAGGGTCTGCTTAACAATTTCATTAGACAGAGCCTCGAATAACGAACGAACTCACCTTTATCGCGATCATGTGCTTCTTCACGCAACAGGCTAAAATCATAGTTCTGTCCCTTTTTTGTAATCTTGTTGGTGGTCTTTCCGGTCCGGAACACGAGTGTGAACAGATTCAAAAAAGCTGTTTGCAACAGCTGTTGAAATGAAGATGTTGGTGAAATTGAGCTTTCCGGCTCATCAGTCCGGCTTCGTTGAACCCATGACTCAAGCATACGAAGCTTTCAAAATTCAGCGGGGGAGGGGGGATTCGTTTGCTCTTTTGTAGGATGATGTGTGAAAAATGTGTTGTTCCATAATATGGCCAAACTAGCGATGTCGTTTTCGATTTTTTTTTCGAAGGACACAACCTTGCTGCCCTATCCAGCTCGGTAGATGTACGTTAAGGAGTAAGAAAAAAGAGGATTCTATCAGAATTTCTATTTTACCATTTTTGAATCCTACTCCAGACAGTTCTTTTCGATAGGAGGAGTCTCTTGAAGGCTCTCCATCCATCGCCATAGCTGCGGCTCTAATTTATCTCTTCCCTCTATCTATTCCCGAGTTGTGGACTATGTTCAGTATGGAGAGAACTTGAACCAAGTTGCTTAGAAGTGGTCTAATGCTCCGCTAACTTTCTCCTTGCTACTATGAGTCATCTACAAATGTTTGATAGACATCGAAACAGCGGGACCCCTACTATTGATAAGATAGGAATGTATGGGAAACACAAAGAGATCGATAGGACCTTGGCATCAATCTCAGTTGGACCTGTTTTCATTCTTCCTCTAATTTTCCCTCATTCCAACTAATTTCCTTCGAATTGTAGCAGTTTTTTAATTGATATCATTATTGCCTGTCGTTTGAAACAAGACTTTCTAACAAAGTAACTGTGTGGCTTCCTTTCCTTCGCTATTAATATTTTGCAACTGTTTGGATTTGGTTGGTGATCTCTTAACACCCGCTATCTCCCTTTGCTTTTTGGGGAGATTTGTTGCATGGCAAGATTTTTCGCAGATATGTCTGATGGTCACGAGCCTTTGACATCTAGCCAGACACCGTTTCCAGACATGCCATCCACGGAACGAGATGCTGAAGAAGGTGGAGCCGGTGCCGATCCACATTCCCGGCATTCACACATACTCGGATCAGAGTACGTTATGTGAACCACCTTCATTTATTCAATTTAAACTTAATTTTTTCTCATATTTTCCTAATTTTCTTTATTCAGTAATATCAACATTCATTATGAGCTCATTAGTGCTGATTCTGTTTTTGACGTACGGCTGCAGCGTGCTCATTGGGAAAGACAACTAGAGTTAAAGCCTGAAAGGAGGATCAATTTTATGAATCATCTATTTCATTTCAACCCTATCGCTTTTAAGTTTGCTTTTCGGCTTAAAACACCGCTCGAAGTGTTTGAAGTGGAAACTACTTCACAGGGACTTTTTCCTACCGGCAATAGTGTTACAAGAAGGAAAAATGTGACGGAACAATCATGATGTAAGGCACTAGAATTGAAATAAAACAATCCAATGTTAAACCTTTTTAAGGAAAAGTTGTTTGCATTAGGATTTTACTTTGTGAGACCGTTGAATGAGACTATATGGTGGGATACACAACTCATTGTCGTGAATCTGCTTCTTTGTATTCATAGTATCCCTATCACGAGTCGATAATCGATTGAAGCATTACGTACTAGGGGTGAATCTGTCTGTGGAGCTGCTACTTTTTCCTTTGGTGTGAATATTTATGCGGAATAGCTTATGTCGCTCGAAGCACCTTGGCGTGCACTATTATTAACGTGACCCTTTTCGGTTTTCACGTGAAATTTGGGAGTTTCATCCAAAACTAAGTTTTTTTCCCTTTCTTTCAGTTTCCCACTTTCTTTCACACGTCATTAAACGCGAGTGATCCTGGTAAAGCCCTCATGCCCTCATTGACTATATGCTCAAAATCAGCAATGGGCCTCCCCCGAGCGCGTCTCCATGCTCATATAACAGAACGTCTTCGCAAATCTTCGTTTCAAAAATACATTTAACTGCAGTTTCCGTTTCAACGCGGGCCTGGTGTCTCCAGTAAGTCGCGAGGGATCGAAGTCAAAGCATTAAACCTGGTCCTGTCCTACCGTGCAGAGAGCACTTAAGAAATGCGTTCGATTTTTACTGTAAATGGTGAGGCATGACACGAGGGTTGTTGCTTTCCCTTACAGAAGTAACTGTAATCGGGGACCTGCATCAAAAGTAAACGCTCTATGTTCACATCGTACGACTTTCACTCTTAAGTAGATTATTCAAATTCGGCGCAGTCACTCTCCGTTCTGCGACTTTTTCTCTTTTATTACGCAACGTACCCATGCCGACCCATTCAACAATTTTGTTGGAGTAAGCGACTGGATTCATATTTTTTTACCATTTAATTTTGTACATCTGTAATATCATAGAAACCGTTAATTCTCTATTTTTTCCTTTTCTTCATTTATTTTTCATTCAAGCGCAAAGGGCACACATCTGTACCAAGTGCTAGGCGTCGACAAGAAAGCTACTCCTGAAGACATCAAAAGGGCATATCGGAAGTTGGCTCTCAAATATCATCCGGACAAAAATCTAGATGGAGACCCCGAAAAAACGGAGATTGTAAGTCATTTTATCTCCATTTTTCGAACTGAGCCTATTTTTCGTTCATATGCGTTCGGTTTATTTCGAAATCGATAATTCACACAATTCTCTGGGGGTTCATGTACTATCACCCTTTCGCGATGACGCATGTTTGTCAAGTGTACATGTGATGGGGATTGGGGAAAGGGCAGGCTCTGCCTATATAAGTCATTTTTACTCAACACCTCGAAAGGTGAAAGCTGCTACAAACAGTTTTTCGGACGAACGAAACTCTGCTGCTTTCTACTGCAGCCCACTTGTAGAAGATTGAATAACATGCTATTAGTTTATCGACTATAATGTATCGCTTGCAACAAAGAAGTGTTCCACGGGCAAAGAGCGAAAGGCATGTTCCAGAAATAACTTCAGTAGAGTCAGTATGTCACCCTAGAACGGTTACCACTCTTACGATATTGATGTTTGAAAATACAGCGCCTAAGCCTCTCCAAACTTATCGGATTAGCAGTAGTTTATAATTATTTCAATAGTTGATGTCTAATTGAGGGCGAGCAAGAACAGCCTGCTTAATACTATCTAAGCATAGCGTGACTTCTACCGCTCATTGCCTTTGTACAAATTATTATATTTCAACAAACAGAGTGTAGAGTTGTCGCTTGATTTGTTTAACACATCTTTCCTCCGTATTCATTCCTACCTTAATGATTTGTGTAGAAACCGCTTACACAAGCTGCCAGTTAATACGGGAATAAGATGTCTAAAAAATTGTGTATCAAACAGCTCGAACAAAAAAATCGGCCTAATCATAGAGTAGCCAAGCATTTCCTCTTTCCATCAAGCAGCTAGGCCATATTCGCTTCTACATTAGCTACTCATTCACTAATTTATTTACAAAGCGATGTTTTTACCTTTTTTACTACCGAGGAACTAAGCCACTGGAATCATTGTCGAAGTTTGAAGTAATTTCTAGGCTAAATAGCTGCCAATAATTTTCTGAGACGGAAGACTAGTAAATTTTTGTTTCAGTTCAAAGAAATCAACTATGCTCATGCTGTGCTCTCGAATCCGAAAAAGCGGCAGGTGAATCTTTTTGCCATTGTCGTTTTTGCACGCAATTACAGTCCTTTCTCCTATATAGTATTTCTTGTATAGGTTTATGATGAAATGGGAGATGCTGGATTGAAATTGTTAGAACAGTTTGGAGAAGACGAAACAGTACTACACTGGTTGTTGAAGCCATGGTTCAAGGCGAGTTTTTCGTGTGCAATTTTATAAATCGTTTGATCGATTCTTTCCTCAGGATAAGAGGGAGCACGACATTTTCAGCGACGTTTTTTTCGTCGTTGCTAATATTTCATTTTTGTTTAATGTTTTAATTATTGTTCTGTATTTAGTGGGTGTTCTTCGGATTTGGCTTGCTCACTTGTGGTTTCTTCTGCTGTTGCTGCGGTTGTTTATGCTGTTGTAAATGTTGCTGTAATTTCTGCTGTGGAAAGTATGAACCGAAAGTTCCAGAAGTAGGTCAAAAAAGTTTTTTTATTTTTGATTACCCAAAAAGGGAACGTTGATGAAAAACAACAAACGTTGGAATTTTTGCCTATTTTTCTGCTGGTTTTCTCAAACGAGTCAGTCACCATCATTTCTAGAATTTTCAAAAAGGATAAGTCTGGGAAGTTTCTCTGCATCTTGGTTGTGATATGGTAGGAGAAAAAAATTGTACAATCGCTACGTTCTTCAGTCCTTATTTCCTAGGAATATTGAATTCTTCCACGAAGTCATCGCTTTTAGATTTTTCATTTTGTTGTCGCACTAGGGGTCGCTAGGGTGGGTACAATTTCTGACTGTTGAATAGGGGTTTGAATGCTGATTATTATTCACTACGCGGATGATTTGTCCCTTTTGCCTAGTGAGAGAACGATTTGATTTAAGAGACATTAAAACTAGGACTTATAAGATTTTTGAATAAAATAATTCCGGATGTATAACTATTGGGAATCTTCAGGAATTCGACCCAGCAGATGTGGAAGATCTAGATGAAGGCGAAAGGGGTGGTGCAACGACATCACCCAAGAGTGGTGATGATGTGATTACTTCGCAACCAACGGGTGAATCTAGAAGTTCAAATAAGCCATCGCCGAAGGGGCCGAATGGCGAAGAGCCCATTCGGGTGAGTGTTTCTCATTATAACGTTTTTTTTTTCTTTTAGTGGTCCTATTTGTTCTTAGAACGGTTTCCATTAAGTTTTGTGGTGATTACTGTTTAGCCTATCCAATGATGTTTTTGACTCGTTTTCTTCTTTTTTAAGTAGTTGCCTTTGGGGGAACATTTGCTGTCCCACACTTAGTGCGGAATTATGAACGTTTTTTTTCAAAGGTGGAGGTGAAGAAATTATTTGTCATCCTTTAACCATGCTGACTGTGTGCTGGAGTTTTTGTGGGGGAACTTTTCACAGCTCTAGACCACAACTGTATTTGCAAGCTTACGATTTTGAAAAAGTGGAAGCATGAAGGATTTTTTTCGTCTAATTTCAACGAAATTCTCGAGTACGTTCAAAGAAAAAATCAAATCTTATTCGTAAATTTTTTGATATCTTGGGCTTTCTTGATAGGGCTAGTAAATTGAAACACAAATAAGCTGCAGGGTCAACTCGCCCTTTATATATCACCCATTAAAACCACTAGAACCACCACTGCAAAATTTGCGATTGATTACAGCATTTTCGTTGAAGTTAAAAATATCAGTAATCTTCAAAAAGTACGGCTCCGCTCAAAGTTTTTCAAAAAACATTTGTAAATTCTTACTCGAACAATTTCATTTTAATGGACATTGATGGTTACTGGTTACTTGATGCATTTCCTACTTTTGTTTTGTAGTAGTTCATTTCATTTGGATGTTTGTGGAAAACGGGCAAATAGGCTTCTTTTTTTTTCTCGCCCTTCGTTACACTCGACAGTTACCTTTGATTTTGTTCGCATTTTTGACAGCCTTCAGTAGCGACTGCATTCATACTCATTCAGAGGACTGTGTTTCAGCCGGCTGTGATCGCCATGCCACCACCTCCTGGTTATGGCTCAACGGGGACAACAGTGGCCTAATACTCATTGTCTTTCACTTCGACGTAGCGACGTTATTCATTATGATTTCTTAATCTAACGTTGTGTGATCTGCGATGGTTGTGTTTTGTTCCGTCGTTCACGATATTAATTAGTAGCTCGCCTACTACGTGTCAACCCCGATGAATTCTTCCTGGGTTCTCCCTATCCCATGTCAGATGTTTCATTTTCTCAAAACATTTCTTGCTCACCACCGTTCAGCATAGTCGTTCGTTTTTCAGCTGTACCAACTTCAATTTTGTCAATTTGAGAGTTTTTTCGAATTCGAACATATGCTGCTCCCTTTTTCTATGTATACGCCAGTAAGACGTAGCCACACTCGGAGTGACCCTCGATCCTTTCAGTGTGTCATTTTGCATTTTGTACCTTACGTAGTTGCAATATGATTTTCTAACTTGTATTTACTTTTAGACTCAGACTTTCTGTTTTTTATTTTCAACAATTTTCTTTTATTTGCTTCCATTGCTCAATAGCCAAGGCGTTCGCACTCTTACATCACATTTGTTTCCTAACCGTTCATTAGTTGATTCGCTTTAATATTCCTAGTTTCAGTTGGCTTCAATGCACAATACATGATTTCGATGAGCTCCTTTTGATGCTATCAAAATCTCTTTTTACACTTTTATACACTTGTATGAATTGTGTAATATCACCTCTTTTCCCTACTACTCTTTATCCTTGGCGTGTATTTATCAACGATTTTGCTGTCGGTGGCAACTATTCCATATCTTGGTTGCGATATGATGTGATGCTATACCTTATAGCGCCTTAGTTGCAATGTTTCCAATTCATATATAATATATATTAACTTACTTTGTTTACTTGATGATAAATGAATGATAATTTTAATGCTTGATTGTCTTCCTGGGAGTTCAGTTGACTCATCAGAGTGAATCCTTGGGAAATCTTTGGGATAGGGCATTTGGAGCGGTCAGAAACAGCGACTTTACGTCACTTAGCAGTTTTTCCCACTGACTCAAATGCTAAATGGGAGTGGGGGTGTTGGGAAATGCCCTTTTTCACCTTCGTTATGGGCCTGTTAAATCGGTACTCTCTCCGATGAGAATGTCGACTTACCGATACTACTGCTCATTTTCTCCACTACGGAACTCTTACAATGATCGATACCCAGAAGATCTTCCTTCCCTCTAGGTCAGTAAATTGATACCAGATTCGTCTGAGAGGATAAAAGTACTGGCTGCTGGTCGTTGCAAGTCATTGGGTGGACCACACTTGCTTTCAAGGGTACTACAAGGGTGGTGGGTGGGTGGATGTCGAATGTGATGACCCATCTGAAAACGGGAAGGAACAAAATCGAAATGTCTCCTGCTTTTACTGATATTGGATGGATGTTAATAGAACAGGGGCCACCACTCCACTATCACAAGTACGGGTCGGGAACCATTTCCTGGATCTTTGCACCATATCTATGGTAATCCCGCACAAGTCAACTGAGTCCTCTATTTTCTAGGATTTGGTGGTACCGGGTTGACTCGAAAGGACTATCGCAATTGCTGCTGTGACCCCAAGAGGGAGTTGAATGGGCCGACGTATCTTCGGATCGAAAAGCAGCTTCATCTTCTCCAATGCCCTGCTAACTTTTTATTGAGTCGCCATAGTGCGTGCTGCCCAGAGACTTTCAGTGGCTCAGATTTTCTTGAAGACGTTTTACTTGATTAAAAAAAATGTTGACTCTGCGAGGCTTAAGTGGCGCTTTCTCACAATGCCAGGATCTACTGTGAATGACATTTTCCCGCAGTCCAGCTAGTCAAACATTACAACACCAACGACAACATCCATGCATTCCTGTTTCGTTGTGATCGGATTATCGAACGGAAACTTTTGGAAGATCTCAGTAACGGCTTCAAACTGGTTTTTGTTCATTCTCTGATTTGACTGACACCTATGAGGAAATCCTTTATCTTCCCATGGTGGAGTACCGTTAACTGAGATGCGAGATTGCGTAAGGTGTTTTTTGCTGGTTTTCTGAGGTTTCTTTTGAATAAACTCAAGTTTATTTCTAATACCTAGCGCAGTTCACCCTATGGCTCATGAACTGCGTACCGATACATTCTTCATTCCTAGTTGCTCTCTTTCTCCAGGGCTACCCTATCTGATCTTGGTGGCAGTAAAGTTAAGATTTTGGTAGGCTTAGGCGAAAAGAGGATGCAGCCGCTAGGGTCACAAAAGAGCTAGGTTAAGTTAGAATGCTCGTAGCCAAGGCTCTCTTGAATTCGAAAGTTTTACTTGATAGAGATTCAACTTACTTGTGAGATGCTACCTTATGAAAGGAAGAGAGTGATATCCTTTTTCGAATGGTGGCTGGACATCGGAAATGGCTTTTGAACGACTATACGATGGAGAAAAGGTTGTGGTTCTGATGAATCCTCCCGAGAGACATCGGGATCAAGGGAAAAAACGCGAATGAATGAAACTTAGGAAGTCCTGATGTGATGAGTTATAAAGGGCTCAAACGTATCTACAATACAATCCCCTACCACATTCAAGTTTGGTACCTGTCAAAGTTGTTGGGACGTGTTACTTCAGATAGTGCAATAACCCAGACTTCGCCTGATTACCCAATATTCCCTACCATCTCTATTTTCCTTAACTTCAGGGAAACCCGAAACACGCTGAATGGTACAGGGAGCACTAATAGGGTAGCTCTGGAAAGAGAGAGCGACTAGGAATGAAGAATGTATCGGCACGCAGATCATGAGCCTCTGTGGAAGGTGGTATACTTCGATAGCTTCTTAAAAAATGAAATCGAATCAGATATCGACAATTTTTTTCTTTATTTTTCTGATTACCTCTTTAGATACACTACTACTTTCCCGGTAAGCCAGTGCAGTCACCCACTGAGTAGTAGAGCGTATTCCGAAAAGTACAAGAAGCTAAGCGATGGTTCACTGACTGGTCATGGGTCGTATTGTCCTTTCAGACCACTGGGAGTGATTACTGGAGCTACTCGAAAGAAAACCCTATGTACTGTACTAGAAGATAATAAATTATCCTCAAGCCCGTTATTCTCTCTTTTCTTACCCGGATGAGTACAATTCGGTGCTTTGTTGATGTGTGCATGTGGATGCTGTGAAGAAGTGTAAGACGAGAAGCTAAGCGACAGAACGCGATTGGCAGCGATTTAGTGTTTATCGGAACGATTGGCCTCATCGCCCTTCGCAGTGCATGTGGTTTGCATTAGGAGCGTGCCCGAGCCATAGACAATTCCAGATGTAATCATCCCCACATACACACACCATACCACAATCACACTGCTCATCTGACACCTCGTAGAGAGCTGATCGCCATCTCACTCTCTGGGATGATCGTCATAGTGCGGTTGACTCTATGGATGACGGCAGAACCTTAAGGAACGCTCTGATTCCCACTCTGCCTCTATTCTTACATCTGCCGGCAGTTTTGAGTTTAGGACTTGCTCGGGTCGCTTCATGCCG